GGCGCGTCGGGCGGGAAGGCGGGCTGGTAGGCCGGGGGCGGCGGCGGGGGAGGCGTTTGGAAGGCTGCGAAGGGCGCGGAGGCGGCCGGCGGCGGCTGGTGGAAAGTGTTCTGGAATGGAGCCGGAGGCGGCAGCTGCTGGTTCAGCAAGCTCGGCGGCGGGTAATTGAAGGGTTTCTGCGGAGCGTGTTGGAAAGAGACGAACACCGACGTTTGCGCTGGCGTGTTCGGGTAGGCGTGCTGGAACTGCGACGGGGGAGTGTTCAAGCCGTTGATTTGGTAAATGAGCGAAGCGCCTTGAGCGGACGTTTGGAGGGAGGGCTGGATGTCGACGATCACGGAGCTCTGAGTGCCCTGGGTGCCTGCGACGTGTTGCGGGGCGGACGTGCTTTGTACGCCCGGTGACATGAGAACGCCCTGAGTGCCCGGCGCGGACAGGCCGTGCGGCGCCGTGGGCACCTGAATGCCCTGGCCCGTGTGCAGCACGCTCTGGGAAGGTTGTCTGTCCTCGTTGCCTGTAATCACGTGCACGTGATCTTGAGATTGCGAGTGGATTTCCAGTGGTGAGCGCGTGGACGAAGATATGTTTTTAGATAAGCCTTGAGATGGATGTTCCTCGTTTCTGATGATAGATCCGGGTAGACTTCCACTCGAGTACAAATTATTTCCTGAAAGGTTTAGGTCGTGCAAATGAGACGAATGACTTGATGCAGATGGGCCGTTCACAACGTCTTTATTCGTGCTGCTTGGCTTTTGATCGGTTCCGAAATGATGGTTCGAGTGTGTTGAATGATACGTCTGAGAGGCTGCGCTGGATTCGTTCAGTGAAGGCCCTAGCGCTCCACCAGACGGCGGATGATTCGATTCTAAATGGTGCTGTAATTGCTCTTTAATTGGCGGCGAGTTCTCTGAGGCACTGGCTTGTTGGAACGTGTTCCTATTATCACCATTGTTCACGGCCGGTTTTCCCACTATTATTTCCTCGTGAGGGGAAATATTGCTACTGTAGGCGTGATTGAAAGTGGTGCTGTATTGGTCCTTGTTTCCGGACGGAGGGGGAGTCAAGTCGATATAAGGCGACTGTATGACTTCGGGCGGGTATTCCACGGACGAGAGGAAATCCGCGACCCGCACGCTTTTAATAACTTCCAAACTGTCGTCAGTAGTGTTGTGCTGGCTGTTGGAGTGGTCGTGCGTTATGATATGGTTGCCATCTTCTGAGCCCGGGGCATCGTTGTCACCGGACGGGAGATGCAACTGGTCCACCGCGTTGTGGCCGTGTCCGTCTGGAACCAAGTGCACCTGCTTGGCGTCCCCGTTGTACACGTCTCCGAGCTGATCGGCACCGAGCGAGTGCTGGGCGGAGGATTGCGAGTCGGTGTAAACGGTGACGGATTTGATGACGTCGAGGTCCGCTCCGGGC